ATGTTATCATACTTTGACGCAAAATCTAGCGCAGCCTTTAGAAGATCAATTGAGATGGATGGATAGAAGTCAACAACATCAAATGCAATAAATGAGTACTGGCTCTTATCAGTAACTTTATTAAACCAGGACAACACAGATTTAGTGTTTTTCCACTGGTTTATGCGCGTTGCTTCAATGACTTTCGTATTAATTCTATCCAGGATTTGTTTGCTAACTCTTCCAATTTCAGATTTGCTCGGGTTGATAAGGCGGCAAGTCGGGTTGTTTTCAAAATTAGGTATATATATATATATATATATATATATTAGGTATATATATTTATAACCAACGAAACCAAATCTTATATTTGCTCCTTTTCTGTCGAGCACTTTTTATAATAACCTCGGACTTTGACATGGAAGCGACACAGTTTGACTATTCCACGAAAAATATTCCAGTACCATCGGAAAAAGAAGCTGATTGAGAAAACCGAACAGCTGTGCAAGCGGATGAGATGGAAAGCACATTTCTATCTAAACCCTCAAAATGAACACAAGACCAAAGAAACCTATGGATTTAATTCAAAAGCGACCCCATCACAAGTTCCAGAACTTACGAGTTTTGAAAATAGAATGTTAAAAATGATTCAAAACATTAAGTTTAAAGATACAAAGTGTAAATTTCAGAAAGAGTTATTCAATGATGTTAACAAGATAAATAAGTCAAACATGCTATTTTTTCCTGCAGATAAAACCACCAACTTCTATAAAATGGACCTTAAATCTTATAATGATCTTCTTCATAAGAACGTTACGAAAACCTATAAGACAATTCCGGCCGAGACAGTTTACAACATTGAAAACGAAGCTAAATACATCGCTGAAAAATTAAACCTTGCTGATAGAATCAACACCGCAGCACAGAGAGAAGCCTTTGTTACGTTGAAAGATCACAAACCTAATTTTGAAAACAACCCGACTTGCCGCCTTATCAACCCCAGCAAATCTGAAATTGGAAGAGTTAGCAAACAAATCCTGGATAGAATTAATACGAAAGTCATTGAAGCAACGCGCATAAACCAGTGGAAAAACACTAAATCTGTGTTGTCCTGGTTTAATAAAGTTACTGATAAGAGCCAGTACTCATTTATTGCATTTGATGTTGTTGACTTCTATCCATCCATCTCAATTGATCTTCTAAAGGCTGCGCTAGATTTTGCGTCAAAGTATGATAACATCACAGATACAGAAAGAGAAATCATTCTACATGCGAAGAAATCGTGCTTGTACAACTCGGGCAAGCACTGGGGAAAGAAATCATCATCTAATCTATTCGATGTCACTATATGGGTAGTTTTGATGGTGCCGAATCATGTGAATTGGTCGGATCTTACCTACTACACCTTATTACGATGAAGCACGGTAATAAGTTTGGTTTATATAGAGACGACGGCTTGGGCATTATCAAAGCAACACCACGCCAAATAGAACTAATTAAGAAGGATCTGTGCGCCTTATTCAACAACCATGGTTTGAAAATTACTATCGAGGCTAACAAGAAAATCGTAAATTTCCTTGACGTGACACTAAATCTAACCACCGGTAAATATCACCCATATTTCTAAGCCTAATAACACACCTCTTTACGTGCATAGCAAGTCTAACCACCCACCCAGTGTTCTGCGTATATTCCATTATCCATTAACAAACGACTAACCGAGATATCCTCTGATCAAGATTCATTCGAACAAGCCTCCCCGTCATATCAGCAAGCCCTTGACAAAAGTGGTTATACCCACAAACTACTGTTTAAACACCCCCTAAACCAATCGAATAACAAGAGTACCCGAAGCCGTAAAAGAAAAATTATATGGTATAACCCACCATATAGTAAGAATGTTTCGACTAATGTTGGACAAACCTTCTTGAAAATAATTGACGAGGAATTCCCCGCAGATCACCCACTACACAAGATATTCAACCGTAATACAGTCAAGATTAGCTACAGCTGTATGCCAAACATCAAGCAGACTATCGATGGACACAACAAATCTACGTTGGCTACAATTTCCAGCACTAGTGGTCTTAACATGTGTAGTTGCCCTAAAAGCAATAAAGAACTGTGCCCACTATCTAACAAATGTACCACTGAATCGGTTGTATATCAAGCCACAGTCACTACTAAGGACAAAACAACAAATAGACCTCCCCAAACATATGTCGGACTTACAGAAAACTCGTTTAAAACTAGACTTGCAAACCATAAAGCATCATTCAACTCTTTCGACAAACGGAACGCTACCGAGCTAAGCAAATACGTGTGGGAATTGAAAAACAAAAACATAGATTATACAATCAAATGGAAACTATTGAAACGAGCTAAGCCTTATAACTGTGCTTCAAATCGGTGTAATTTGTGTTTATGGGAGAAATACTTTATTATTTGTAAGCCAAAAAAAGCCACTTTAAACAAACGAAATGAGTTAGTGTCTGCATGTAGGCATAATAAAAAATTCCTTTTAAGTAACATTTAAAAAGCTAGACATTTAAATATACCGCGGTGTGTTAATCTTTCCGCGTCCTGTCAGCTTATCACATAACATGTTAATTAAATCGCGTGGTTTGTAAATAGGATTAAGTTTTTTAAAGTCTCATCCACTTGTATACATATATAACCTTGTAAGTTTTAGTCTATAGTCATTAGGTCAATTTATCTGAAGAGTGCCACATTTTGTGGTACGAAACTATTTAGTAATAAAGATGCCTAGTGGATTTTGTTGATTGTTGTACCTTAATTTAAATATGCTCTGTTTTTCCATTGAGCACTTTACCAAAAGTTTTTATAACCAGCGAAACCAAATCTTATATATATATACATACATATATATATATATATATATATATATATATATATATATATATATATATATATATATATATATATATATATATATATATATATATATATATATATATATATAGTATATATATATATATATATATATATATATATATATATATATATATATACCAAATATGTATTTAGAATCATATATGAGTAGAGTGCTCGATATACCGAAGTATAGAGCTAATATAGATAAAGATAAAATAAACCTGGTTTACTTCATAAGATTTATTCACTACAAACTTGTTTCGTATGACAAGCAATGCTTGCCGCACTCATCAGGTGAATTTAAATGTCGCGCTGTGTTGTTGCCAAGGTTATATATACTATATACATGTTTGACGTAAATGGAATGTTCAAGTATTAAATTACGTATAGATTACATATATATACAGATTATATTAAGTAATGTATATTGCTTAAGAGAAATTTGTATATATAACCTTGGCAACAACATAGCGCGACACTTAAATTCACCTGATGAGTGTGGCAAGCATTGCTTGTCATACGAAACAAGTTTGTAGTGAATAAATCTTATGAAGTAAACCAGGTTTATATATATATATATATATATATATATATATATATATATATATATATATATATATATATATATATATATATATATATATATATATATATATACCGGGTGGCCCAAAAAAGTACTCCTGTTTGATTCGTAATAACATCTAAACAAGTATAGCTTTTAAAGAGAAATAACTTGCATCAAATAGAGGAAGGACTAACTTAGACTTTGATATATTACAGTTGTATTTCACTTAAAAATTCACGGAGATATTAATCTTTAAATTCGGGAGGATATTTCTGGATATGTCTGAAATATGCAAAAATCGGCGTATCAAATATTAATCAAGATTTGCCCGACTGAAACATGCACTATTACCAGTAAATAAATGACACTTGACAAATTGTTTATCATGAAACAAAGTATTATTATATCTACAAAATACAAGCAAGATTCATTCGTCCGAAATTCGCGTGTGTTCCTAGCACGAATACGTTTCCTTATTTCATGAGACCACGGCATCGCGAAGGATCGTCATTGGATCGTTCGTAGTTCTGAATTAGGGCATGCTGTCACAACGGAATTGTGAAGCTCTTCTAACTTCTGCAACGTTCTGGAATCTTGTTAAGAACACCCAAACTCTTTTGCCGTTTCTTAATCTTGGCAAGTTCATGGAGTAAACTGAGAATTATATGAAACACAATCAAACCATACAACTCCATAAGACATAACAATTAAGCAACTCCCCAGAGACATGCAACATTTTTGGAACAAAACGTAACAAAATAGTAGCGTTGATACGGTGATGTGTATTTGCAAAAAGCAACATTATTTCCTTCAATAAAGAATATTCATCCTGCTCTAACCGAGAAATAATCTACTCAGTCTGTTTGAACCCATTAAAAACATAAAAAAATTAGGCTATTTAAGAATACGAAAAATTTAAGCGCCTGCCTTCCATGGTCAGTCTTTCATGTACATTTAAGTTTGCAAAGACCTAATATTAAATACTTGCATAATTTCGAACGTTCATATTTCAGGAAACAATGAGTTAAGACTTACATGTAAGATGTCTAAATCTACGCCATATCCCTTACAAACCTTAACGATAATTCGCTGAAATACAAGTTAGCCTAATATGTCATTAAACAAACAAACGCTGGAGTTAATATTTGATATGCCGATTTTCGCTAATTTTAGACACATTCCAAAATATGCTCCCCATTTTTAACATTAATATATCCGTGAATTTTTAAGTTAAATACAACTGTAATATATCAAAATCTAAGTTAGTCCTTCCTCTATTTAATCCAAGTTATTTCTCTTTAAAAACTTTACTTGTTTAGAAGTTATTACGAATCAAACAGGAGTACTTTTTTTTGGGCCACCCGGTATATATATATATATATATATATATATATATATATATATATATATATATATATATATATATATATATATATATATATATATATATATATATATATATATATAATCATATATGAGTAGAGTGCTCGATATACCGAAGTATAGAGCTAATATAGATAAAGATAAAATAAACCTGGTTTACTTCATAAGATTTATTCACTACAAACTTGTTTCGTATATATATATATATATATATATATATATATATATATATATATATATATATATATATACAGGGTGTATCATAAAAAACGGAGTCCTCGCTTCAAATATAAATTTCGAAACGAATATTAGAGTAAAACGTTCAGGTTCACATTTGTTTTAAAACGTAGGCATTCAGCTTTCCAACGATGGGTTGTTTCGTAAGGGACGGACCATTTGATTTTTCATGGGGGGGGGGCGCATTTTTGAGAGTGCTCGATTTTTTTTTGGACCTCACCGACTCCGCACGATTTTTTTTTATCGAATCTTGCCGCGTGCACGATATTTTTTAAAATTTTTACTATAGCGTTAATACAATAATAACCACGTATGGTTATATTCCGGTTGAAGAATGTATTTGAATATACAGCATATAACCACAAAATAGGAAAGTATAGCAGAAGTGTAACCCACGAAAATTTTAACTCGCTCACGCCATCCTGGCTAGTACAGCCGGAAGTTTTTATCAGGTTTTGATAGGTACAAAGTGCCGGTTGTACTAGCCAGGATGGCGTGATTGATGATCGGACGAATCGCTTGTAAAAAAGCGGACAAATACTTGCTTGAGTGAGACTTCTGGTATACCTTCCTATTCTATGATATAACTATCACAGCCCATTTTATACCTGGCCAATTTTATACTTGGCCCATTTTATACGGGGCTATGGTCTACGAAATGTAGACCATAGTCCCAATAAAATTGGATCAAGTGTATTAAAGTGTGTAACCCATTTTGCATTGGCGTAATGGCATCTATATAGAAATTCCCACGGTTCTCAATCGTATCAGTGTTCCCAATACGTATTATAAATTAATAAAAATTTATTGAGAATCAGAGAGCGATATTAATGAGCCGGGTGGGAAAGGGTATTTTTGTGACCCGTGAATGCAGTGGCGTAGCCAAACTATAATTTTTGGGAGGGCATATATCGAACGCCGAAGGCGTTAGCCTTTTTAGGGGGGTCCATTCTCCCCCTGGAAAATTTTGAAATCTGGAGTCCCTCAATGGCGATTTCCCGTGTTTCTGGGGAGAGATTTTGCATAATTCTGAAGATTATTTACTGCAGGAAAGACCTGATTTTTAATGATTTCTCAATAATGTGGATCCTTAATTTGACTCAACGAAGCTTACTTGGTCGCGTGTGAATAGTTAAATCGAAGTTTTAAAACGCATTTTAACCAATAACCACCATAGGCATTATTTTCTGTAGTTAGATTTAGGAAAGATTAGAACTTTTATAGACAATTTGGTGAACAGATGAGATTGGTAGTCACATGGGTAGTCATCGTCCCCCCCTAATTTCTACCCGGATTTCATCTTTTACAAGGGCAGTCCTTCAGCCTATTTGGGGGGGGGGGGCTGAGCCCCCCCCCCCCTTGTCTACGCCACTGCGTGAATGGTCAATATTTGATCGTGTGAAATGCTTGATTTTACTGTCATGATCTGTGATTTGTTCTACAGCCGTGAGGTGTGATTGTCGATCAAAAAATGCTCCGTGAAATGGGAATTAAGGATGTCTGTTTCGTGAACTGTGGTTTTGATTTGTTTATTCCGATCTATTTTATAACAGTGATAATGGACATAATACGCGATAATAATTTATATGATCGATCTCACTCGATTGCACAAGAGTAGAAACTTCGGAGGCCTTTCGGAGATCGTCGGACGTACTCATCACTCAAACTTGTAAGTAGCTTTTAACTGCCAGGCAGAGAAGAGAATTTAAGCGTAGTACTGTACCATGCATTAAACATAATCTTAAAGCTATTATTATTATATTATTTTTATTAGAGTCTCGTTATCCGTGAAATGTGAAATTGCTTTTTTATGGCACGTGAATTGTGAAACGGTATTTTTGTTGTTGTGAAACGTGAATCATACCTCCCCCCCCCCCTTTCCCACCCTCATTAATCGATGTCGAATTTACAGAAGTACAGTGTGGGACTTTCAGTGTTAAGATTGGGGTTTTTAGGGATACCATTAAGGTAATTTGTGGATAATTGAATTATTGAAGTCAAAGTTGTCAGAACTGGTTTGTATCGGTTTGTATTTTGCATGTATACTTCCGGTATTGTTAACCAAGGCAGAACCGAAACACTCAACAGAAAAAAACTAAGGGAAACTGAATTTTTCTTTCAATATAGAGTATTGCTAATTTAGAATTTTTTTGTGCTCGATATTTAGCTCTTGCATTGCTTAATAATACGCCAGTTTATGGAGTACTTGACCTTTGACTCTTTAAGTTGCCAGATGTATTTGCTCAGCTCTGTCGCATTTCTATACTTGCTTAATCTGAATGAGCTAGTGTGGCAATAATATCTGGATTTGAACTCTCCTTCAATGTGTCCGACATACGATTCCTTTTGATTCGTATCGTTCCTAACAACCGTTGCTTGGTATACTACGCTGGATGTTAGACATTTACAGGGCAGTGGACACGAGGACTTATTCCTGCAATTGCATTGTCTTGGTTTCGTGCTGCATGTTGACGCATCTGTTGAGGTGAGCTATATTTACTACAGATTTATTGTGCCCAGAAATTATATTACGAATGTTGGGCATGCAACTGTAACTCAGCTTCAAGGTATTTCTGTTAAATATTTTATGGAGAGGATTGTTTTTAGGGAAGCAATCATCAATTGCTTGGAGGAATTTATGTCCGATATTCGTTTTGACATTAGCCAGTTGTAAGGTGGGTTAACATATTTGGTATATTTCGCTCCTTTATTGTTGAGCAATTTACCAATAAATATGGAACCTATTAATCTTGGATACTCCACAAAGAACATACCAGTTGCGCAGCCAAAGGAATTCTTCAAGTGTTTGGTCACCAAAACGGAATCATTTCTACGACGTATTCGATGGAAAGCTTATCATTTTCTCAAACCTGACGAGTCTGCAGAATCTGCATCACACGAAACCTTTGGTTTTCGTTCTACAAAATCGCCTCCCCCAATGAAAGAGCTTGAAGAATTTGAAAATAGAATGTTTTCTATTATTCAAAATGTCAAGTTTGATAAATGCCAAAACGAATTTCAGAGAACCCTTACCAAAGACTTAAATAACATTAGTAGTGAAGATAAGGTTTTAGTGTCCGCAGATAAAACAACAAACTTTTACAAGTTAGACGCCCCTTCATACGACAAATTGCTTGATAATGCCATAACGAAGTCCTACAAGAAAGCTAACGCGAACATTACTTCCAATATAGCAAATGAGGAAAAGATTATAGCTGAGAATCTTGGACTTGCCAACCGAATCGACGCATTAGCACCCAAAAATAGCTTCGTAACATTGAAAGATCACAAACCAAATTTTCAGAACAATCCAACCTGTAGGCTAATCAACCCTTCCAAATCAGAAATCGGTGTCATCAGTAAACAACTCCTACAAAGTATCAATTCAAATATTTTGATCCATACTAACTTAAATCAATGGAAAAACACGAACTCTGTTATTTCATGGTTTAAGAATTTACCTAACAAGTCATCTCGTTCGTTTATTTGTTTTGATATCGTAGATTTTTACCCATCCATTACTGAAGAGCTGCTTCTTAATGCCTTAACCTTTGCTTCCCAGTTCAACACCATCACGGATGAGGAGAAGCACATAATAATGCAGGCGAAGAGATCAGTTCTCTTCAGCAGAAATCAAACTTGGCGCAAGAAAGAGTCAGATAGCCTCTTTGATGTAACGATGGGCAGTTTTGATGGTGCGGAAACATGCGAGCTAGTTGGTTTATTCCTACTATCCAAACTTCCTCCAGAATACCGAAATGATATTGGTCTCTACAGAGATGATGGCCTTGCAGCGTTTGACAAACAACCGAGAGCAATAGAAAATATCAAGAAGCAAATTTGCAGAACTTTTAATGAACATAATTTAAAGATTACAATCGAAGCTAACAAAAAATGTGTCAATTACCTAGATGTCACATTTGACGTAAGAACTTCCTCATTTAAACCGTACATGAAACCGGGAAATACGCTTCAATATGTCCATCGTCAGAGTAATCACCCACCCGTGGTTTTAAAGGCAATTCCTGATGCAATTAACAATCGATTGTCCAACATCTCGTCTGACGAACAAGCATTTAATTCAGCTTGTCCTCCATACCAAAATGCTTTACATAAGAGTGGTTACAACTACAAGTTAAAATACAATCCTAAAAACATTTTTTTCAATTTAAACGTTTTATCATCATATTTGAGTCAAATATGATGGAATATCCTCAGCTGACGCAGGATCAGTAACTTTTACATTCGTCGTTGCCATAGTAACTAAGATAGGCCTCGCTATAGGGTAAAATATAGGGTTTGCTCCAAAAATGATGTGAGCCAAACTAATTTACCGAGGATTTTAGAAACAGCTTTAATGGACACTTAATACATCGATCTATGTCATGAACCTAAAAAAAATATACAACTAATATAATAAAGCCTTCATATTTTACTTTTTTAAAATTATATGAAGGAGTTCTTATAAGGCTACTCTTGCAATGTATATTGCTGATATATGAAGTTTT